AAGGGAATTCTATGAATTGGAGCTCTACCCCAGATTCCAGGACATAGAAGAAAAAAATAGTAATGATTATGGACTTAAGAAGAGACATTTTTTTCAGAAGCAAGATTGACAACCAAAGACAAACTAATTTTAGTAGCAGCTGGTGGGCAACAAGATTATCTGAGAGACCCCTCAAGCAACAAAGTGCGAAGAGAAGTCTATAAAAACCTTATAAAGGAGATAAAAAGAAGACTGACACCACAGTTGGCAAGAGAGATAAGACTGTTTTGTTACTGGAAAGATACAGGTTGACAATAAAAGTTGATAATAAAAAATTAGTTGATTTTGGTGATTAATAAGTAGGAATTTTGTAACTCTTAAGATTGTTTTAGATTGTTATCAAATGTTTAATTGCTAACAATTAATTAACTATAATAACAATAATAAAATGATAATGGATATAGTCTAGTGATATATACATGTATTGGCAATCTAGTAAAAGAAATTTGGATATAAATTGCAAATTGTGACTTGGGAAAAAGACTTATAAATTTTACTAACAAATTTTTATTTAGATCTTGTTATAAAGGTGTGTTTTTGTACAATTAAAATAAAAAAATCAAAAAAATTGCAAGTAGAAAAACAGGGACCACCTTTGGTGGAAAGGTAACAGCGTGCCATATGCCTTTGGTGTTTAGTCATGCTGGCCCCATGACAAGGGAGACATCTTCTGACAGCACTGGCTCTTCAGCTTTGAAACAGAGATGAGCACCGCCCCCTACAGTCAGGAATGACTTGCGAGGGGAACATTTACCTTTAACTTTGGGGATATTTTTCATAAATCTAAAAAGAACATATTACTGTACAATGAAGTACAGAATGCAGATGCTATAATGAAAGGATGTGATATATATGGCAAAAATACTGAACAACATGGGCCAATTTTCTACTCTTGAAGTGTGTCCCTGTAGGCTTTAACTCTCCTGGGTGAAGAGTCAGGACTTTACAAATCAGCAGCAGAGTGGGGTCATAAGAATTAAGTCCTTTTCTTTTTAATTTCTTTTCATTCTGTAAGCCGCCCGGAGTCCTTCGGGATTGGGCGGCATAGAAATCAAATAAACTCTAACTCTCTCTCTAATATAATTTTGCATTATCCAATTGTGAATAGGTATTTACTCTTTCAAATTGCACACCCATTTAATTTTCATAATATTGTTAATCTACCAATCTATCAATCAGCATATTATGAATCTTGTTTATTGCTATCTTGTAAGTATTTTTGATAATCAGTTACAATAACTATTTATATTTTTCTAACTGCTCTCAAAATGAAACTGTTGAATAGACATTAAATCCTGCCATGAACTTAGAATAACTGTTGTAAGCTTGGAAATGTTCAAAATATTTTGCACAATTTTAGGATTATTGCTTCTGAGAAGTGTTGAAGTATTGAAAAATGGCATCAATTCTACATTCCTGTTATCTTTTGCCATCACTTCAAATATATGTTTTTCTTAAATACCCCCCCCCCAGTTGAATTACTTACACTTAAATGTCAAGATCCAACATCCAGATAAAAGGGCCAGCATGCACTTCATAGTAGTTCGCACAGGATATGCAGGAATAACAACATGTGTGACTAAAATGAGAGTTTGTTAAAATGTATAAACTGCAGGATGAATTCTTCCCTGTGTAAACAAACCACAACTGTTATGATCCTTCACATTCAAAGAATAATTCAATTTTACATCTACTAGCTTACAACACAGGCAGAATAGTTCCCAAAGGAAGAGAAGCATATTCTTTGAAAAGCTTCTTACACTGGATGGGCTCAAGGGTTCCATGAATGGGTGAGGAGTGATTTAGGAAGATAGGAAATGGAGATGTCCAGAAATCATTAATTTCCAAACTAACATCAAAACTAATCTTACATGCAAAGCTGCAGCAGTGAGTATGCCAAGCTCTTTTTTCAAGGACAGTAATATTTTTCGTGAAAGAAGGACCTGGCCGGCAGGCAAAAGAAGGCCCCAGCTGGTGTGTGAAAGAAGGCCCCAGCTGGTAATGTGTGCTGCAGTGGGCACAACAGTGGGCAGAGTTGGTGGCAGATGGTGAAAGAACTGAGATGGTGGGTGGAACTAAAGTGCTTTCTTTCTTTCAAAAATGGCTTGGATACAGGAGGGTCATCGCTCAATGATCATCTGACATTTTCTCAATAACAATAACTAGATAACTAGAATTGCCATTGCTAAGCTTATGTTTATGATTTTTTGCTTAACAACTATGTCACTTAACAACTGTTGCCAATCTCAATGAGGGTCACTAAGAGGTTAAGTGAGAACTATCTGTAAATCTCAATTAGAGAGCTCCTGGACTGTATAACCTACAAACTATATTAGGAGTTGTGATGACCCTATTTTGGGGGCTATTCAGCAAAACAAGTCAGAAAGATTGCTACAAAAAAAAATGTGCATATAATAAAGAAAGAACAATTATATCACTTGAGATGGACAGAGCTGATTATTACTTGTGGTTTCAGAATATTGAGGAAGAAAAGGGAGAAAACCTAGTGGCAGAACTGCTGGTGGATGCCCTAGAAGTGATCAAAGAAAAAGTTCTTGCTGAGATTGGTGAAATATTTAGAATTCACACTGGATACATACTTCCTAGAGAGGTACATGTGAGAGTCATTAAAAAAGCAATAAAAGCAGTGATTCTACAAAGAGCGAGAGATGATCCTTTAAAATACAAAGGGAAAGAAATAGTAGTTTTAAAAGATTCCGAGAAGAGTTAGAGAAATAAGGAAGGAATATCAATTTCTGACAAAACAGCTAATTAAAAATGGAGTGAATTTTAGATGGCTGATACTGGAGGAAATATTAGTGACATGGATGGCGCAAAGATATAGATTGGATTCCATAGAAAAAGCAGAACAATTTTATGAGCACTATTTTGGACCACAAGAGGAAATGAGAAAAAAAGAGGATAAATGACAAGAGGAAGCTACAAGAGAGAAATACACAACAAAAAGAAGAGGAAAGAGATCTTGGACGAAATAGCAAAAAAAGAAGGAATGAAGCAAAAGAACTGAGAGAGATAAGAGTGACTAGAAGAACAAAACCCATCTATAAGTAAAGTTATGGAAGAAGAAATAAAATTATTGTCAATTAGTATAAATGGACTGAACTCTGCAATAAAAAAGAAAAGGACTTTCAGTCAAATAGAAAAATTAAAGTTGGATATAATTTGTTTGCAAGAAGTTTATATTAAAACACAACACAACACAACAAAATAATGGAATATCCTAAAATTTGGAAGTTATATACTTCTTTATCACAACAAAAGAAGAGAGGATTAGCTCTTTATGCAAAAGAAACAATAAATGCCAAACTTTTTTTACGGATGAGGAAGGGAGAATTTTGATGGTAGAGATAACAACAGATACTTTTAGTAGCAATAGATACACCAAATAGCACTCAAGAGGACTTTATGGTAAACTTTATAAGAATATAATAGAATTGTAGTATGAAAATATATGTATAATAGGAGATTTTAATGCAATTGTGGCTGCAGAATTAGACTATAAAACAAGAAAAGTAAATAAAAAAGCTAGGAAAAATAAAGTCAGCTTTGGATTACCAAATTGGGAATTGTATTATCAGTCTGCAGTATTAACATGGATGAAAGAATGGATTGTACCGAGGCATACAAGACTGTTGACTTTGGAGGAACAGGATTTGCAATAGGCTTGGTGTGCTTTCTTGTGGCATGGAAAAAGTAAGATACATGGTTACTTTCAAAGACATTACATTAGGAATGCACTACTGTTAGCATGGGAGAAAATCAGAGAGTAACTTTACTTGAGGATACCAGTTTGGCTTTCAACGATGGAAGCATTAATATTCACCCAAATGTTCTTAACATGGGAAATATTGTTAGATATAAAGACATTCTGAATGTCACTCAATTCTTGCTTAGTTTTGAGCTCCCCCTTTCATTCAGAGATCAATATCTTAGGTCATATTTTAAACAAATGGCCTCCTGAGATCCAAAAGTTAACACAATGTATTTCATGTGCATTCAGAACCCAAATATTATGCATAATTTGGCCCTTTATGTCAACAACAGTAGAGTCCCACATTCCCCATCTTATGGGAGGTGACACAGAAATACAGTTTGTATTTCCTTTTAGTTTTGCCTTTTACTGTATCTTGTTATCCTTGTCTTATTATATAATTCTGTATCTTGTATAGACTTATGGCTAAACAATAAAGTGTTATTAGATTAAATAAACTGGACAACTTACCAGAACTGTTAAACTCTGTATGTACTCTAACCTTCAAAATTGTGGCCAATTTGTTTAACCGCAGCTGTTGATCTGGATCGAGACCACTCCCAAGAAGAACCGGAGGCCCTTTTTTACAGCAATCTAGGTTTATGTGCTGAAAACAAGAGAGAACGATTATCTTCCCAACAGCCTATATTTCTTTCTTTCTTTCAAAAAAATAACAAACCCAAACTTACTCAACATTTCTATCACATAATAAAGAACTATTTCAAAATAAGCCTATTTTTAATGTAACTTCTGGACATAGATAAAAATACATGAAATGTATCTGAGTTTGTCAGCTGGAGAGGTGACAGCCTGGGTTCGAGACTCATGTAGCAGGATGGGCTCCCATTACCTGCCCCAGTTCTAATAACGGAGAGTATTTGTACCTCAGGTTGTTTGTTTCCTTGCAGAGATTTCATTATCCAAACATCACCATAAAAAAAAATGAAAATCTGTCTATCTGATTAATATCAGTTCCTCACTGAAAAAGTCTTTTACGTCTCACAAACCATGACCTCAGAAGGGAGATTTTTAAAAATATCCTGTTTTACCATATCTCTCTCCTTGTGGGGCTGGTCAAGTGTCAGATGTCATTTATTATTATTTCCACAGCCCCATTTATGGATCCAGGCCAAATTATTGATGGTGGGTAAACTCAAGGCCTCATGCCTTGAACTAACTTTTCAAAGTTGTCTTTCCAACTATTAGTCAGATTGCTACTTTTGCTCTGCTATAATGTAAACTTAGAAAAATACTTGTTCTTAGTTGTAACTCTAGCTTTATCTTTCTTATGCCTAACACTCTTTTATTACTTCATTTTATAATCTTATTATTATTGTATTTTTGCTACATTATTTTGTTATGCTCTGCTTATTTACTTGCATGAAAGACTCAAAATTAATTAGTTCCTTTTATTAGGGAGTGGTTTTCTATGATTTAATGATTACATATGATCACATTAAAGTTGAGAACCTCTGTTTTATATCTTTTTCTTAAATTATAATTTGTTTCTTATAACTTAGGTACTTTGATAAAATAGTGAGGTATTACAAATAATATTGTTGAGAATTATACGTTGTCGTCACTTAACAAGGCTAGCTTTAGATCATTCCAAATTATCGTTAAACAAAGAACAGAATACGTACTTCTGCATACTGAATAACTGAAGAAGAATCATTCTGTCCTGGCTGCATTAGAAGCGATTTCATCTCTTCTGTTTCAGCATAATCCACAGGTTTGTGACCAAATATATTACTAGTAAAAGAAGGAAAGGTAAATTTTAAGTAAACAAGGGATGAGACTAGATTACTAATCATCTGATTATAACTGCACTGTAACATTTTTATAATCTTCAAATATTTACAAGAAAAAATGCATAAAAAAATGAAGCAAACCATTAACATTTATGACAGATCGATTAAGAACAGCAAAGAAATATAAAACAGACGCAACACATTGAAACTACTCACTCTTAACTAGCAGGTCCTTTTAGTGATCTCATATTATGCACTGACCAGAATTTTTAACATGCTGTAGAGATAGACTTTGACTTACAACCATTTGTTTAGCGACTATTCAAAATTTACGACAATAAAAAAGTGACTTATGACCATTTTTCATACTGACAAACATTGAAGCCTCCCCAAGGTCACATGATCAAAATTCAGACGCTTGTCATGTGACCTTCCCAGAAGCAACGGGAAACCCAGGGTCATTTAACAAGGGTGTATTCAAACTCAACCTTCTAGCAAAGCTTCCAATGTATAGTTTTGGCAACTCAATCGTGACGTTGTAGATGAGGGGTGTCAAACTGGTGGCCCTCGGTCTGGATGAATCACATGCAGGCCACCTCCACCCCAGCTGTGCGAAGGGAAAAAATGTGACAGCAAAGTGACAAAGTTTGATACCTGATTACCAGGTTTGATTACAAGTCTGTGTAATTTCGCTGCAACCGTTAATAAGATGGTTTCATATTTCTCATTGCATAAGTGACATTTGTAACTGACGTGCTGAATTTTTGTTTTCATGGAATAATTCTGCAAGGCTTGTTCTTGAGCAGCCAAGATGAAGCCTTCAGTTTCTTTCTTCAGCTCCCCTGATTTCAACCAGCTCCACGTTAGCTTTGTATTTGCCTTTCCTTCCAAGTCCTTCAGGTATTGACTGTGCATAGGCTTCTTTTTCCAGTTAGAAACTCAATGCTCAATTGTTTCCTTTCAATATTCTGCTTTCAACCTCATTGTTTTCAAGAGATTTCCCTTATTCACCTCCTTCAGCAAAAGCTCTTTTGCTTTCTTTATGTAATCGTTTAAGCCATGTTTTTCCTCTTACAGTTTGTTTCACCTGTAAGAGAGCTCTGCCATCTTGAGATATAGGCATGTACAATGCAGCATGATTTGCGCCATGCAAGTACAATGCACCATGGCATCCTGAGTTATAGGCAAATACAATGCACCATGAAATTAATATGATTTTTGTGTGTGCAGATCATGGTGCATTGTCATTAGTTTTCTTGGCTTTTGACCCAAGTTATCAAGTTCTAGCTGAGTCCAATCAATTATTCCAACTGAGTATCGTATTACAAGCACTGCACAGGCGTTAATTGCCTTTATATTTCCTTCACTCAGCTTTTTTGGGGGGAGGGGGGACTTTTATTGTTAAAAGAAAAAAATGTTGGATATGGTGAAACCATCTTGGCGATCTCTTCGCCATACAGAGTATAACACAGATCTTTTGTCTATTCAATACCCGTTACTAATTATACATACATAACCTCTTCTATATGATTACAATTACGTATTGCAATCTATGTATCCTTGTGCTTGTTCGTTCCTACTTCCCTTCCTTAAATCCAACCACTGATAAAATCTATCCCAAAAATCTCATAGTATTCTGTTTCTCCTTTGTTCTTCAGTTCTAGTGTCAGTCTATCACATTCTGCACAGTCAAGTATGTTCTTAGTTATTTCTCTTTCTTTAGGTATGCTTCTACTCTTCCATTGCTGGGCATAAAGTATTCTTGCAGCTGTTAAGATATGTAGCGTTAAATATATTAACCCTTTGCTTAAATCCTCTGTGACAATTCCTAATAGGAATATTTCTCGTTTGAGTTCCAATCTCTGTCCAGTCACTTCTTCCAACCACCTTTGAATCTTTTGCCAATATTCTTTTGTTTTGCTACATGTGGTAGTAGGTGCCTGGAAATTGATCACATTCCAGCATTTAGGTGATAATTTTTTATACCTTTTGGCTAACCTGGCTGGATGTGGCACCTTTAGAACATTTTATATAGGTTCTCTTTGTACGATGTGGCCAAAGTTAGTTTCCCGTTTTTATCCCACAATTTTTCCCATTTTTCTAATTCAATATTGTACCCAAAGTTCTTTGCCCATACCACCATCGCTCTTCCTCCATTTTGTATTCTAATAAAAATTTATACATGCTTTGAACATTTTCCCCTCTGTCCCCAATAGAAGTTTATCTAATGGCATTAAATTCCTATTGATGTCCCATGTTCTCATATCTTTCGTATAACTTGACTGAATTTGTAAATATGGCCACCATTCTAATTTCAATCCTTCTTTTAGTTGCAGTCTCAATTTTGATTTCCCCTGATCATCTAATATATCTTTATACGTTACAATTTCCCCCCAATTTATAAGGTTGGGCTTCTAGGGTGGAGAGCCAGTTCGGTATTTTCCTAAAGTTTTGTTTTTTATTTTGTTCCATATCTCCAATAGAGCCTGTCTTATATAATGTCTTTGGAAGTACTGATGGCGCCTTATGTCTTTCATGCCATTCTGCTTGTATATCATGGCCCTCTAATGTTAATAATCTTTTGTTTCTTAAGGTTATCCATTGTTTGACCCAGGTGATCACTCCTGCTTGGTAATATAATTCCCAATCAGGCAAACCTTTGGCCTCCTGAAGTAGTTTCAATTGAATTCTTGACTTTTCCCCCTGCCATACATATTTCAACATAGTTTTATCTAGATTGTCAAAGTACTGTCTCTCTAATTTTATAGGTATGTTTTGAAATAGGAAAAGCAATTTTGGCAGAACACTCATTTTAATTGTGGTGGATCGATAGAAAGAGGTCATCAGCCGTTGTTCCACCTGATTTTTTCGCAGGACTCTAAGGAAATGAAGACTCGATTGGGCCTTTCCAATCACCAGAGACATGTTGTTTTCCCAGGTGAGATCTTGACTAATAAGCACTCCCAAGAATTTAAAAGAGG